CCCCCCCCCCCCCCCTTCGCGTTCTTTTGTCTTTGTTTCTTGTGGCTTCAAAAGCGCATTGAGACGGTTTTCTGTGGAAGGCGCTATATAAATATACGACCATTGACCATTGACCATTATCATAACTCATTTCGCACTGTTTACGTGATAATAAAATCCTTTGGGAATATTGGGGTTTTGGAAGCCCTACTTAGTAATCAGTATTTTTCCAAGCCTGTCCCTAAACCTTGATCCATGTCAACTTCACATAGCCTATCATAGTTACCAACCGTTTTGCAATTCGCCAGTGTTCCCGCACTTTAAAGCCATTTGTTTAATGAAATATTCATTTAAAAAAAATCTTAGGCTAGGTCAATGCAGGCCCGTAGCTAAGAGGAGCAGGGGCTATTCTCTCTGTTACCCCCCCCCAGTTTTAGGTTTAAGAGTGCCATTTCCAGAACTGAATTTGAAATTACGCACCACCATAAACTTAATTTTATTTTCCGATTTTCGACAAATGGTAGTATTTGCCATGTTAAAGCCTTACGATACTAATGCATATTAGGGTCAGAACTCATCCAGCCGCATCCCTACGTTACCCCCTCGATGTCTAGGTCAATTGCCACAGCAGATACAATGCCAGCCATTCATACAAAGAATTTCTGTTGGGACCCTTAACTTAGCCTGATGCCTCAAAAGTAAACTAAGAGGCATCATTGCTATTTAACCATAGTTGGTAGATGGATTGGTGTCCTCGCTTGGCACACACAGATGTATCGCAATCAGCATCTCAAGTGCTCCATCTTGCTCCATGTTTTTTAGCCTGGTACCCTAAGGTAACTAGTTTTCAAGTTGGACCATGAGAATGTCAAGAATGTCAACTATGAGTCTTGACTTTGTAGTAGCAAATGGCGATAGTATTTAAAGCGAGAAGGTGCCAGCACTATTTAATATTTATTTATGGGTCTTTCCCTAGTATTTGGTCCGTGAGGGTTACATTTTCATTTTCAATTATTAATATAAGTTTTTGTTTATTCTCAAATTAGATATATCAAAGTTAATTGAACAATTTTTTTAACATTACTTTTTAGGGTATTTAATATTAAATATTTAAATTTTATATTATGTGTTACAGACGGGTCATATAAACATTTCCAATATTTCTTGATAGTATGTCTGTTAACATTATTTTTGGGTGGACACAGTTCCTTGCATTCTCTATATTACAAAATCATGTGTTTGGTTAAAAGTTGTTATTTTCAATTTCATGGAGACATCAACACTCATAATTTTCCCCGTTCGTAACTTTTGACGATTTTTTTTTTTATAATTTTTTTTTTACATTCATTTGCAAAGTAATGCTATGACAAACTTTATGTTCAATTTCTTCTAATAGAGACTATAACCTAGTAATATTATCAACAAATTTCTGGAAATTTGTGTTCCCATGTCTAAAATTCTATATTTCAAAAAATATTTTGTTACGGACGGGTCATTTTTTGTTACAGGGACAATTAAAAATTACCACAATAACAAGTTTTTTTTTTTTACACTGAATTAGAGTAACATGGTAGCAAAGCAAGTAAACTATTTTTTATTTGAGAGTGTAAAGAATTGTATTTTATCAATAAACAATGAAAAAAAACCAGAAATAAACATGACGTACGTGAGCTTTTGTACAACATTAAAACCATGATTAGAGTTACACTTTTAAAATAAAACCTGTATTTCCATAACGTTATGAGCACACAATTATTAAAATCATGTTTTAATTTTAGTGTACATATTATTAAGTGTAGATATATATTGAAATATATGGTGAGACTATTATTGGACAAAAGTGTCCTGACCGCTACGTCAGGAATGTCCCATAATTCATATTTTTCGTGAAATTGCAGTTATGATTTTGTGGTAAACACTTAGGCATATAAAATATTCATCTGATGATAGTCTTAAACAAATAATAATTTAATATCTCTTTTAGATGAGGAAAAACTTTAAAATATGTAAACCTTCCAACCACGAAGTCCAAATACTGTTCCATCCGAGACGCATACAAATTTTATCATAAACTAAAAAAAAAAGAATTTTTATTTTAATAAGAAGCAATCAATTCATGTCAAACAATTCACACACATACTATAGTTTCTAAATCAAAATATCTGGCTGCATCTTATCAAATGCGGAAGGAAATCCATTGTAGTTGCACTATTAACTTATTCAATTTAGATTATCAACATAATTCTAAATCGTAGGTTTGACGAATATATTTTTTTAATTGACCTTTAGGGTGGAATCAGCGGTGATATGATGATGACAGCATTTGTAGTGATAACTTTAAAAGAATACAACCCAACAAATCTGCGGCAAGCAGCACGAAAAGATTGTGGAGTTGTACGTATTCAATTTGGATCTTCCGAATAGTGGTTATCTTATGTTTGTTAACATTCTTGCAAATACGTATTGTAATAATGTTCAAAATTTTAGAAAAATAAATCCCAAACATTATACATTAATCCATCTGTTTATGTTACCTTATTGTTTAATATTTCTCTTCAGGATTATACTGACAAAATAACGAAAGCTATTGCCTACCTCGAAGCAAATATAGATAACTTGAAGACACCTTACCACTTGTCAGTCGTAGCATACGCTTTGCATGTTGCTGGAAGTGCATCGAAAGATGATATATGGATGAAACTTAAAAATAAAGCATCATTCGATGCTAATAAAGGGCTACGTCATTGGAAGATGAATTCAAAGGCACTAACAGTAGAGGCGACCAGCTATGCTTTGTTGACAGCAGTTTACAGAAATGAGATCGTTTACGCCAATGGAATAGTAAATTGGTTGACGGAGCATCGTGATTTCAAGCGTGGATTCAGCACTACGTCCGTTAGTATCTGTATTTTTTTTTTTAATCATTACATCAATATTTATGAAAAATGTAATTACTATTCTGTAATTGAATGTAATTTTTTTCTTTTTTATAATTGATAGGACACAGCAATTGCATTCGAATCCATTGCAACATATTCAAGTGAAATCGATACATCATCTGTTGACATGAGATGCAAATTATCGTCAACGTCATCAAAAGATTATGAGCAGATTGTTGATATTAATGATGCTACTTCGACATTGTCGCAGAGAAAAACGGTAAGCACATACATTTTATTCAATTATAATAATGATTATAGATTTAATTATAGTTAAAATTTTAATTATATTAGACGATAAAAATAGAAGCCCACTGTTGGACTTCAATGCTTTAATATCAATATATCTCTCTCTCGTCCTAATCCTTCATTTCTCTCTCACTTTCTCTATTTTCGTATGAATCAGAAGAAAAATTATATTGGGAATGATTTTTTTTGTCACATTCTTCTCTGATTTTGAGAGGCCAAAGCCACTAAATTTTAGCCTGCAGAGGGCGAACTGTGTTCATTAGTACAGAGAATAGCTAATAGCCTAATGCTTAAAATGGCCGGTCAGTGCAGTGCATTCTCGTATTTTGAGACCCCTCTAAATCCAGACCATTTTTCAAAGAAGGAAATAACAATCTTCTAGTAAAAACTAACTCTCTAATTGGAAATCGAACCCCGAAAACAACTCAAGATTTTCAGGTCCCAAGTGGTCTTAAATTTCTAATTTGCTGGACTAATTCACATTGTTGAGTGGTTGACAGTTTATGTATCTGTTTATACAGATTACAGTTTATGTATCTGTGAGAAGCAACGAAACATCAATGTGCCCACACGTCAACGGATGTGACTTTTTTTCTAGATTTGACACCGTGATAATAAGAAAATATAACATCAAATATTACCATGTATCAAAGGTTGCCGATATATCCCCTTTTCTTCCAAATATATAATTATATATAGGCCTATATACATTTCAGACTATTTTTATTATTGTCGTTGTTATTATTATAATTATTGTAATTGTTGTTATTATTTTTTTAAATTATTTTATTGTTATTTTTATTTTTATAATTACTATCAATATCTTTATTATTTATTAATATTATTATCTTTAATATTTATTAATACTATTATCTTTATTTTTGATTAAAACTATTTTCTTTATTCCTTATTACTTTTATTATTTGATTTTACTTTATTCATTTATTTAATTAATATTTATTTATTTATTTATTTATTTTTAAATCATAATTATTATTTATATTCTTAAAGAAAAATTATTTAAAGAAATAATCTATTTATTTATTCACCTATTTGCTTTTTGATTTTTCTTTTGGCATTAGTGTGTGTGTGTGTGGTGTTGAGTGTGTTTTCTTATTCAATTCACTTATACTTGCTGTTGTTGGCTTTGGTCATTGTTTTTAACTTGTCCTTTTATTATTTTTTTTTTTATTTCGGACACCTTGATTTACAAGCTCTTCTGATTTCTTTTTGGTTGTCCTTTTCATCATTGTATTTTTGTATTTTTGCTTTTTGTCTATTTTATTGTTGATGAATAAATGAAATAAAATGAAATATATACATTTGAAAAATTTTCGTTTTTGTAAAGCTAAAATGGAAACAGAGTATTTACTCAGAACGTTTCGATCCCTATCAGAGATCTTTATCAACTGACAGATAGGTGGTATTTAGCTTGGTCATGAAGTCATCTGTTGATGACGTCGTACGCCTGCTCCGGATGTAGGTCGAAGGTTGTCATCAACAGATGACGTCATGACCAAGCTAAATAACACCTAGCTGTCATAAAGAACTCTGATAGGGATCGAAACGTTCTGAGTAAGTACTCCGTTTCCATTTTAGCTTTAGAAAAACGAAAATTTGTCATCTATACAATTCTTGAAGCTAAATGAAATTATTTAAAGAAAGATTTATATGTATATATATATATATATATATATATATATATATATGTATATAGATTTAAATACGTATATATGTATGTACTGTCTCTTATACACATCTAGATGTGTATAAGAGACAGATATGGATGATAGCGGTACAAAATAGATACGCATCTACGGTGTGGGTTAGCAGTATTTGGTATGAATTGCTAAACATAATAATAATAATATAATAATGATAGACTTATAGCTAAATAAAAGATATATAAAGTATTCAATTAATGTACTAGATACACAATTTATTATGACATCATAAAATGATGACTTATCATAGACGTAGACTTATAAACGTGCATATTGTCATGACCTCTATACGCTAACAGCATTATACTGCAGTAACTGGATCAAATGCTATAAGGACCGTACATAATTGTTGCAACTGCAACCAGTGCACAGGAGTTTAACAGATAACAACTTATACACCCTGTCTCTTATACACATCTAGATGTGTATAAGAGACAGCAACACCCCTGAGCTGCATCCCTGAACTTCTATCCAGTACTGTACTAACTTTCGTGTGCTAAACTTGGAGTTCCTTTAGTTTTGGAGCAGCCTACTAGGAGCACAGAGGAATAAAAATCCCCGACTAATTCTCTAAAAATAGTGTTACACAACCGGGCCTTGCTACAAAGTTAAAATCTAGTGGTTAACAAAAATATCAAGTAAACGGCTTCTAGAATTCACATTGTCTATTCATTAGTAATATTAAAGTAAGAAACAGATGAAATTGAAATAATTCTGAGAACTGGCATTTTCTTACTACAAATAAGTAAAATTTTACTAGAGTATTAAGGCGGGCACTGCGACCGACGGTCGTCAGTCAGGGGCGGATCCAGAAATGTCCAAAAGGGGGGCGGAAGCGGGGGCCGAAAGTTGGGCCGATTGAGACAACACTGTCGTAGTGGGTTTGGGGCATGCCCCCGCGAAATTTTTGTGTTCTAGACGCCCGAACATAACATTTGAGGTATTCTGGGCTATCATTTTTTTCTTTTTCTCTCTTTTTTTATTTTTTTTCCTTTTTTTTACCTGCCAAAAGGGGGGCCGGGCCGCCCCCCCTAAATCCGCCCCTGGGTGGTTCTACGTAACACTCGCGCGCCGCTACACGCGCACAGCTGATCGTTTTTAATGTTCAGGCTGTTACCGACAATCAGCAGATGGCGTCGCATCGTCTAGCGCTAACAAGAAGCTGAGTTGGATTCGTCGGTCTAAAGTCGTACGACGCAGTGAGTGCCCGGCTTTACACACCACACACCATTCAGACCCACACACCTTAGACCATAACATGACGGTCCGATAACAGGAAGACACTTAAGTGTAAAGTACACATCAGAGGTGGCACCAGGTGCCGAGGTGAATTTAAAATGGCCGCCTACTTAAAAAGACTAGATTCATATATCTTTCAGAGGCTTATTGTTGGTCTAAAATTGCTTGGAACATGAATATTTTTATTTGCTCTCCAATTAAGCATTTTGTCAAAAAGTAACCAGAACTGACATTTGACTCATAGATAACCAGAATATCTATAACTCTAAAGCTGTAGGTCATAGATTAGAATTAATTTTGATCTTAAATTGTTCAAATTATGCATGTTTCTATTTGCAAATGACATTTCTGATTATTGAACCTAGATACCCTGTATATCCATATCTCCAATATGGACTTGATTATGGTCTGAAATGCCAGAATATGCATCTATTTACCTTGACTAGATATTTTTTCTCGAAAAAATAGAGAAAAGACATGTTTTGATCCCTTCCCTTTATTTAATACCTGACCATTGATATCATTGTTGTTTTATTAAAATAAGGAAAAAAAAAAGTGTTTCCTTTACATAGGATAACCTACAGGATAGCAGTCATAAGAGCAAATAGAAACATATTCTGAAGAATTTGAAACCAAAAGTAAGTCTCTATGAATCTAGTAGGTGGCCATTTTTAATTCAAAATGGTGGCAGAAACTTAGCACACAACTTTTTTAAACCTACACATATCAAAGATATTTTGTGCCAAGTTTCAAAATTGGTAATAAAATGCACAACTTAGGCATTTTTCTGCTTTTGGATGCTCTATTGCACAGGTGGGCAAAGTGCGGCCCGCGGGCCGCCAATCAAAATTGTCTAGATAACACCTTGTTTTTTACAGCCCGACACCAATCATATGTAAATAGTAACATTAAAAGTGAGAAAAAAAAATGTAAAAGCAGTGCTTGGAGGTTTTTGGAAGCTCACTGGAAACATCAAGGTTTGGGTGTCATTATCATTAATATTATTATTATCATTAGTATCATTATTATTCTTATTCAATGGCCTTTATTACCAGTATGTCATTATTTCATGTGTAAAAAAAAAGAAAAAAAAAATGTTATTAAACTAAGAAAAGAGAAATGAAATAAAAGTGGGTGCAACTCCCACAAAAGAGAAAAAAAAAAGGTTTGGGTGCGGCCCTCAGTGTTAAATCAAAAATTCACTTTGGCCCTCCGACCGATTTTTATGCCCACCCCTGCTCTACTGTAATGCAAGTTTGCACTGTCTCAACCACAACCTTGTAGATATTAGATAAAAACCTAATATATTCCCTTAAAATTTCATTTGCTCTCCAATTAAGCATTTTGTCAAAAAGTAACCAGAAATGACATAACTGACATTTGACTCATAGATAACCAGAATATCTATAACTCTAAAGCTGTAGGTCATAGATTAGAATTAATTTTGATCTTAAATTGTTTAAATTATGCATGTTTCTATTTGCAATAATTCAACGATTTTTCTAAAAGTGACCGAAAATGACATTTCTGATTATTGAACCTAGATACCCTGTATATCCATATCTCCAATATGGACTTGATTATGGTCTGAAATGCCAGAATATGCATCTATTTACCTTGACTAGATATTTTTTCTCGTAAAAATAGAGAAAAGACATGTTTTGATCCCTTCCCTTTATTTAATACCTGACCATTGATATCATTGTTGTTTTATTAAAATAAGGAAAAAAAAGTGTTTCCTTTACATAGGATAACCTACAGGATAGCAGTCATAAGAGCAAATAGAAACATATTCTGAAGAATTTGAAACCAAAGTCTCTATGAATCTAGTAGGTGGCCATTTTGAATTCAAAATGGTGGCAGAAACTTAGCACACAACTTTTTTAAACCTACACATATCAAAGATATTTTGTGCCAAGTTTCAAAATTGGTAATAAAATGCACAACTTAGGCATTTTCCTGCTTTTGGATGCTCTATTGCACAGGCGGGCCGCCAATAAAAATTGTCTAGATAACACCTTGTTTTTTACAGCCCGACACCAATCATATGTAAATAGTAACATTAAAAGTGAGAAAAAAAAATGTAAAAGCAGTGCTTGGAGGTTTTTGGAAGCTCACTGGAAACATCAAGGTTTGGGTGTCATTATCATTAATATTATTATTATCATTAGTATCATTATTATTCTTATTCAATGGCCTTTATTACCAGTATGTCATTATTTCATGTGTAAAAAAAAAGAAAAAAAAAATGTTATTAAACTAAGAAAAGAGAAATGAAATAAAAGTGGGTGCAACTCCCACAAAAGAGAAAAAAAAAAGGTTTGGGTGCGGCCCTCAGTGTTAAATCAAAAATTCACTTTGGCCCTCCGACCGATTTTTATGCCCACCCCTGCTCTACTGTAATGCAAGTTTGCACTGTCTCAACCACAACCTTGTAGATATTAGATAAAAACCTAATATATTCCCTTAAAATGTTCAATTGTGCAATTCCTTTGAAGATTGAAGTTATTTACAATAGCCTTGCAGCCACAAAGGCAGAAGAGTGTGCTTTCTTCGTCTCCGCTGAAATGTCTTTAGTAAGAGGAGATAACGAACGTGATAAAGTCTACACTATGAGAATTTCGGTCAAGTAAGTACTTATTCAAAAATTAACATAACAAGTCAATTTGCCAAGGCATGACTGCTAATTCAGGGGGTTAAAACTGCACGTATATCCTATGGGTCTCCGTGGTCTAAAGGATATTTCGTGAGGTTGCAGGTTCGAATCCCACCAGAGACACCTTCTTTCATACAAGTGAATATGACTTTTCGTTGATGAGCTATGCTTGATACGATTACTAGTACAACATGTTCATATTTGAGCACTGTTAATATCTGTCTCTTATACACATCTAGATGTGTATAAGAGACAGATAATAATCATAAATAATAATCATATACTAATTAGAGTAAGGAAGAAATGTTTGTGACGATTTATCGTCTAAATGCGTGCACAGATCTGGAAGAAACATATTGTAGTGCAATTTTTAAGGTGTCTTACGAGTATTGGAATTATTGGCGGAACCAGAGAGGGGTGATGGTCGGTGAGGTCCAGATGTTGGTATATAGCCAACAGTTTTTTTTCTTCTTTATTTGTGGGGGTTGGGGGGGTGGGGGGGGGGGG